AGCAGGAATTCGGCATGCTTCAACCTGAATGAAACATTAACAAAAAAAAAAAAAAGATGTTTTAATTTGAGTTTGGGGTGGCAGTGTGGTGCCGCACAGTAGTTTTTTTGTTTGACAAAGCTGCATTCTTCCTAAAAACTACATTTTCACAATATATCTGACTATTTGCGGTGGTTGCTAAAAAACTGCAGCCAGACTCTTACAAAAAAAAATTGTAATATCCACCGTAGTTTTTTGAACTACAGCTTCTTATTCAGCAGCTTCACAGTTTTCTTCCCCAAACAAACCCTTACATACATATCACTTAACTCCTATGTATTTACATATTTAACATCTAAACTTTAATTTTTACATATATGACATCTTATTTATGCACAAAAGAGTGTATTTCACTATTTAAAAGTTAAAAAAAAGAACACTAACAAAATGGTTAAATCCCAAATGTTTGGAAGCATTCAGATCACAAAAACTTCCAAGCAAAAACATTTAAGAGGATAAGCATGCATGCAAGCGCAGAAGATAATGCAAATTTTAAATAAATCAAATAGAATGGCCAAGTGAAAAAAAAAAGATACGAAGAAGTCACTCCAGCCAAAAAATTCAGAATTCTAAGGCAGACAAGCTAACAAATGAATTATTTCATTGATGGGAATAAATTTTGGTGAGGACCATTGTTTATGTATGAAATAACCACTTTTAAAATGATAAAACAGAATAACAAAACAAAGGTTGGAACTTGAAGAGGTAACTGAAAACCAAAGAAGAATACCAACAAACCTTATGCCTTCATCCACCGTCTCATCTTTTATAAGACCCGCAATCTTCTCAATACCCCGGTAAGCCTCGAAAGCCTAGAGCAAAGGTAAATGGAAAATTGCAAATAATCTCATTAAAATATAATCTTGAAATAAAAGAACACGCATGTTGCAAAAAATAGGAAAAAAATGATGTTACGATGTGTGGAGACAAAACAGGGGAGTCGGTGCATAGGCGCTAGCTATGGGTGCTCAAGTGCCCACTGAGCGCGTCTCACAGTGGAGCCGGCGCCCCACATCCAGAGAGATCGGCGCCTATGCACTGCTCTATTGACGCTCATTATTGGGCGCCAATACCGAGGGCTTGGCACTTAGGCGCAAGTCTAGGGGCCTAAGCACCCAGGAGTGTTTTCTTTCAGGATTTCTTTTTTAATCCTGATTTTGAGCAATTTTGTAAGGGCTTTGAGTTTCTTTCTTCTGAATTCTTTGATGAGCATCCCGGTTAATGTGAGGAGTGTCGAAGAGATGAATTTTAGTGATTTGACATGATTCTTGCGTCATATCAGAAAGGGAATATTGAAAAGTGAGTTCTGTCAATTTTCTTTGTATGTGGAGAGAAAACTTGGATAAGTTTCTTATAAAACATTCTAAATTTCATAGTGAAAATTTTTTGTGGTGTTGCTCTTGGTTTTTTTCCTGTTCTCAGCTTTTTCCACATAAAATTCTCGTGTGCATTTCTGGTTACTTTGATTGTGCCTTCCATTTAATTCTTTGTTCCGGTTTTCTCGAATTGATGTGATCCTGTTACTCCGCAGTGTGGTTTAGTTTCTAATTGATCCTAAGCCTAGTAAAGTTGTGAATTGTTCGTTAGAGATTTCCTAACAAAGAAGTGTAACAGAGCCTAAACAAAAACGTGATAATACTAGATTTTGTGTGCTCGGATAGAGAGTGCAAAGAAGGAGAATTAAGGTCAAAAGTGTAGACAAAATAAAAACACACAGGCAAGCATAAGAGATCTGAAAAAAATTCTAATGGCAAGATTTAAGGTATCATGAAAAATATGGATAATCTACAATACAACTCTTAAATGTAGGATATTTTTTTGTTTGGATATAGAATGACAGAAAACAGTTGCATTTTGCACAAGAATACAATCATATAGTTGGATGGACGAGAGTCCTGTCTTTCTACTTTATATTGCACAATCCTGTTCAGTATTTGTGATAATAGAATATGTTCTTCTCAACCAACTGGATGCACCCAACTAAATTTACCTATTTACCGAAGTTACAGAGCACTAGATACCGTAAGAATTCAATAGAACCAAATAAATGAGACCAACATGATTTCATGCCATCAATAGCACAAAGTTCTATGTTTAGATTTATAACCAAATATAGAAAAGATGAACACTGAAGCACTACAATTTAGGTGAATTACCATTAATGGCCAACAAAGATTTCTTTTTTTCTTTTTTTTTTTTTTAATTTTGTAAATGATCAATAGTTCAATTGGTGTTGCCTCCACCCAACAAAGTATGAGGTGAGAGATCACTTCCACTCTTCTTGGATGGTTCTTTGAATAGTCAATTAATATTTCCTCCACCTCATCAAATCCTGATAAATAGAATTCCATAAGAACATAAGTATGTAAACATGAAAGTTTAGGTGTGAGATATGTATTTAGGTGTGAGATATGTAATGGTGTGAGATATGTAATTACATAAGAATTGTATGCTACGTATGTAAATTTCCCTTTTTTATGTTTTTTTTGTATTGCTACGAGAAGATTTCACTCATTTTAGCATGTTTTTAAGACTTTCACGTTTATGTAGTCTTCATAAAACAGATGTAAATCTGGGAAAGAATTTTATTTCTCGCTTTATATGCATTACACCTTATTACATATATTATATAATAGTGTGGCTGGCATAGTGGCCCGCAAAACAGGAAACATGAATCCTTTTTAAATTAGGAATCCCCCCAAATAGGAAAAACATAAAAAATATGATATATCTAATAGAATGAAACACAATTAGTAAAATATATTATAAGGAAAGGAAATAAATTCCTTCCTAATCAAGCATGTGGATCGACACTTTCCTACACTTCCCCTCAAACTAAGTTGTATATATTGTACAAAACCAAGCTTGAACTTCAATTCATTATAACTAACCTTTAATAGTGCTTTGGTGGGAATATCAGCAATCTGAAGTTGTGTAACATAATGATACTGGAGTTAACCCAAGTCACAATGAAATAGAAATATTATTGTTGAATTTAAATATGATTACAACGAAGATTCTTCAAATAAGAAATAAATGATAAACAAACACCATTAAAGTGGATCTCAAGGTGGAGGTCGACTAGGTTGATTGGGAAGGTTGGCAGAGGTGGCGCCGTGCTGGCAGCAAAGGAAGATGGTGGCAGTAAGGGAGAAGTGCAGAAGTGCAGGGATATCAAGTATGGAGGTTGTCTTGGGTGTGACACAAGGAATGGGGGCGAACAGTGATGGGACAACAAGATAGATGTGTTCCCGGGCTGTCTGGGATGGCAGTGGCACAGTAGGAAGGTTGGGACAACGGGGAGGTGTGGTTTGGACGGCAACAATGAAGGAAGGGAAAGGAAGGTGGCTGGTAGGCAGAGAACTGCATAAAACAACAAACAGGGTGTTGTTGCGGGCGACTGCAGTGAGAGACAGCGTTAGGGAGCGATGCGGGAGGATGTGAAATGGAATAGGAGGAAGATAACCACCACCTCGGGAGAGAGATACAGCTGGAGCATCACTCAATCCCTCAAATACAACCTTTGAAGTGGAAACGGACGTTGACCGATGTCTTGATAGAAATCTGAAAGAAAGACACAATAATCTACCCTAAACTCAGCAAACATACATATAAATAACTCCAAGCGGGTGAGAAACAAAAATGGAAAAAAAAAAGGAAGCAACATGCGGCTAATCGCGACTCCCAATAGGCTGGAATCGGGCTTGGAAAGGAAGGCGGGCCGTG